ACCCCATCCATGGGGCACTCCCCACCACAATACACAGAAAACTCCCCACCACGTTCCACCCCATCCATGGGGCACACACCACCCCATCCATGGGGCACTCCCCACCACAATACACAGAAAACTCCCCACCACGTTCCACCCCATCCATGGGGCACACACCACCCCATCCATGGGGCACTCCCCACCACAATACACAGAAAACTCCCCACCACGTTCCACCCCATCCATGGGGCACACACCACCCCATTCCTGGGGCAATCCCCACCACATTCCACCCCATCCGTGGGGCAATCCCCACCCCAACCCACCCCATCCCCATGGCACTCACCCCTTTAACCCCTTCCCACCCGCGGGGCACTCACCGAGCCTTCAGCTCCTTATGCTCCTCTCGGACTTTGCTGAGCTCCAGCTGCAGCCGAGCTCTCTCCTTGGCCACAGAATCCAAGGTCTTCCGAGCATCCGCCAGCTCCGACTCGTAGGCAGCTTTGATCCCTGACACCTCCCTGCTCACCACCTCCTCCGACTCGGTGATGCGGAGCCTCAGCCCAGCGTTTTCCAGCTCCAGCGAGCGAACCTTGTCGATGTACACAGCCAAACGATCGTTCAGCTCCTGCAGATCCTCTTTCTCCTGCAGGCGAGTGATGCGGGTGGGGGACAAGGGGGTCCCCGAAGTGCCACTGCGGGTACTTCTCTTCTGCGAAGGTGTAGCCATGGTGCGGCTGCTTTGGAGGCGAAGGACACGGCTCAGGTCGCAGCGCGATGTCCCACGCCACCTTTCCCCAGCTGTCGCGGCTGCTCCCGGAGCTGGGGGACTTGCTTATATCCCAGCTGGGCAGTGCACTGGGAGGAGGAGCCGCCAGGAGGAGGAGGAGAAGGAGGAGGAGGAGGAGGGTGGAGATATCCCGAGCATAGGGTGGAGATAACTCGCTTACATCAGTCCCAACCCTTCCTCGGAAAAGGTTGGGGAGGAGGAGATGGGAAAACGGGGCTAGGGCTCACAGCCCTTTATACACCTCCTTTTTTTTTAGGGATGTTCCCCCCAAACTGGCTGGATGGCAGCTCAAGGGGACTAAGGAAAAATGCAGCCTGAAAGGGGCTGCAGTAATGGGGTGCAGCTTAGCACCCCCGGGCTGAGCACCCCCAGGACATCGTGGCCCCCCAGAGCAGGTGGCAATGACCCCACGGTGTGGGGGGTCCTGGGGTACCCCAAATGCAGGAACCACAGCAGCCTGGGGTACCCCAAACTCGGGGATTTAGGGGCCCAAATACAGCCCCAGGTCACCCAAAGCATCACAGTGTGGGGTACCCCTGAATCCTGAGGTATCACAGCCACAGAGCCCTGGGGCACCAGTGGATTCCCCTCCCCCAGCACTGCCTCTGCCCAGTTCTCCCAGCTCTGCCTCTGCCCAGTTCTCCCAGCTCTGC